CCTGTGTTTCTGCCCTGTCTTTGTTGGTTGTTTGTATTTATGTGTGCTACGTTGGTGCTTTCACGTCTCTCGAGTCTTGTTTCTAGTGTCTTGTTTTAAGTTTGTTTAATAAATCTACACTGCGTTTGGACCCAGCCTCAGCTCTGTTTCTCCGCACAGCGTCACAACGTCACGACGCAACACCAATCAGGATTGGATTAGTTTCATTCATACGTCAGAGTCGCACGCTTAGGGAGCGTCCCCAAAGAGTCGATTTTATCGACGCAGTGTCTCGTTCCCTTCTCAGGGAACAAGGGTTATAGTCATAACCCAAGACGTTATCCATGCACAGGGTGGAATATTATTACTGGCAGGATCAAATAGGGAGTCAGACAAAGACTACAAAGACTCAGTGTAGGCTTTGTGTGCCCCCTGAACCCCAACCCTCACCACCAAATACAAAAATAAATACATTGCATAACTTTAATTTATATTCATAAGCCTTCACTATTTTGTGACATCAGTGGGGAATATACACCCTTACTTTTTCTATAAACATTGTAGTGCTTTGTGTGAGACAGTACATTGATGTTGAAGTGATTCTTTTCTTGTCAAAAATGTATGTAAACCCCCTCATCAGGTTGATCAAAAGTCAGTCTTTGTTTGCAGTCAGACAAAAAAAAATTAATAGAATAGAATTATGTTGAATATGCCAAAACCGTTTTATGTAGTGTGGACAAAACAATTGGTCAGTTTGATCAACGTTTTGATATTACAAACCTTATCATAGCAAACTGGATGCTAATAGCACTCACCTGTTGTCTCTGCCACACAAATATAGATCTCTGAATTCAGAATTTAAATTGCACAAACGAAACTCACCTTGTTCTTTCTGCTTCCTAGAACAAACAGTTCTCCTCCTTAAACTACTCGAAGCATCCATCTGATCAAACAGCGTTTGCTTTATCATGTCCTCAGTCTTATGATGTCATTCTTGACTTATCTCTCGACCAAAAAAGTAAAGCTTATATTTTCCTCCCTAAAAGTGTGGAAATTTCACCCTTTTGTCCATGTATGCTTCTCTCACTGGATTATACATCAGAATGCACTGGTGTTGTTGGGAGAGTCCAGTGGTCTATTTTGAGTGGTATAATAAACCCTTAGAGGACCCCTCTCACACTCTGCCTTTCACTAATACCACCAGATTACCATGAATGCATATTCAGGTTTTGGCACAAGCTCTTCATCATAGCTCTTCTTTCTATCTGTGAATTTCACAACAACAAATCTCCATTTTCATACTTTTTTCAATCTCATTGCTTGTACTTCAGGTGTTCTTCCCCAGCTACTAAGACATTCTGTGCTCTCCTCTATTAGTTTTCATACAAAGTCCAAATTTATTTTAATTTTATAAGTCAAGCCAAGAATTATCCAACTGTGTTTTTCAATAAGCAACCTTTCATTCACTTAATGGGAAATAAATCTATCACTGGATAAATGATTCTAAGCAATTCCTAAAGCCTTTACTTGTTATCATTTTGAGTCTAAATAGAAACACAGGCAGCAGTCCAACATAGCCACATCTATAATTGAGGATGATGTGTAGCAGAGTAACAGTAAATCTGTAACTGGAGCTCTGGCACATTCCAGGCTGTAAATACCCTGAGATAGACAGAGAGAGAGAGAGAGAGACTGTGTGAGAGAAGAGAACGGGATGAGATACACACAGTCCCTAAAAGCGAAAGAGTAAGAGGTGCTGAGTGTTTTGACAGCTGATGACCCTGCAGTCATAAACATTTATTGTGTTGTAGTTGGTGTGGCTCTTATGTGCTGAGTGTACCTCTATTATTAATAATAATAAATAAATAAATACTTTAAGGTCTATGGATAATATTTACACTATAAGAATTTTTATTTTACAAAATAATATTTACTATTACACTCTTACAAGAGAAAGTTTCTAAAAATAGGATTTTACCGAAAATGCCATAGAAGAACCTTTTTGGGTTCCCAAAATATCTTGCTGATTTTATTAATATAAAGAGCTCTTTATTAATATTTTATTAATATAAAGGGCTCCCTTTCCCACTATAAAGAACCTTTTGTGGTTTGGAAAGATTCCATGGAGGATGAAGATTGTTTTATAAAACCAATAAACCTTTTGTGACGATCAGCAGCTGTGGTGCCCTCGAGAGCCACTGGAGGGCACTCTCTTCCCATGTTATGTTTCCCCATGGACTCTTTGTGTTTTATTATGTTCAGCTGTGTTTCATTATTGGTTATTGAGTTCCTTATTTAAGCCTGAGTTTTCCCTGTGTCTCTTGCGAAGTCTTGTTACCCTGTAAGCGTATATCTCTGAGCATTTTCTCAGTTTGTGTAGTCCGTGTTTCCGGACTCTCGACCTTAGCCTGTTTCCTGGACTGTTTGTGAACCTGTGCTGCCTGCCTCGACCATTGCCTATTTAGACCATGCGTTTCTGGATTGCCCCTTGCTTTGTTTGTGTGCCTGCTTGATTTCAGTTTACGTTCAAGTATAATAAAGTGCTGCACATGGATCCGAACGTCTCTGTCCGTACGTTACACCTTTAATTTTAAGAGTGTAGAGATAAAACAGTTTGTGATTGGGAAGTATGCTTAATGGGAGATTTTTAACTTATTTAACCCTAAATATATATATATATATATAACAGTACTTTAAGGGAACATGTTACTAAGGCACTATTTTGCACCTTTTATGGGGTATAAAGTAGTCCCTTTAAAGAAGGCCTATTATGCAAAATTCATTCAAATTGGTGTTTGAACATAAATGTGTCAGCAGTGTGTACACAACCACCCTATGGTAAATATCCTTCCACTCCACTTTTTTTAATCCTGATTAATAATAAGCAGTGTCGCAGTCCTTTACAACTTCACAAATGATTAGACACCACCCACAACTGCTGACGGACTCTCTGCCCATTAGCATAACTATTAACAGGAAATGAAGCAGGTTCTGTATAATATTTTCACTTTTTCATTATGCATCTTACACTGCTTACACACAGATCTAATATACACATTTGATTTCTTTCCCGGCTGATTATGTTCACAGACATAACCGACTGTGTTCATGTGAACTTTGAAGTTTTGAGCAATAAATTGAAAGAGAAATTAGTTTAATACTCACAGGATGCGGGAGTGTGCTCTCAGAAAACCATATACAGAATAAGAAGTTTAGACTGATATGGCTTTAAAAAGGCATGCAGATAATTCACTTTTATAATGATAAAGAACTGCAATGTCAAGTGAGCATGACCACGATAGAGATCATAATAAAAGCCAGATGTTTTAGTTTTTGGCAGAGTATTGTGAGGCAAGAGCTGTAAAGGCGGGTGGGGAGCAACAGCTGATTTGCATTTATAGATTCATGCACGAAAAGAGCATGTTTTTCCTTCCACTCAAAAGCATAAGCATTTACAACATGGTATAATAAATGATCTGGAGGGTATTTCGTAGTTGTGGCCGAAATTCACAGACACATTCTCAGAGCCAGACAGTAACGGAGTACATTTACTTGAGTACAGTATACTTAAGTACAATTTTGAGGGATCTGTTGGCTACTTTACTCGAGTATCATTTTTGGGGAGTACTCGTCATGACTTTACTCAAGTACATTTGAGACGGAAATATTGTACTCTTTACTCCACTACATTTCTATCCATAACCGTGAGTACCGGTTACTACTTTTAAAAAAAATAAAAAATAAAAAATAAAAAAAGGAAAAAATAAAAATCTCGGAAAACCTCAATTTGTTGTTTCTCTCTCAAATGTGATTGGATTGTGCAGGCGCCACTGATTGGGACAGCCTATCAGCAATCACCTTCAGCTTTCCGCCAAAGTCAACTCAGTGGTCAGATTTGGATAAGAGAACATGGACGAAACACTGGATGGAGATACAGCCGGTTCATCTCGGGAATGTGCCGACCCGTGGCCCCACCTCGCCAGACTATTTAAATTTTCTGAATTTTCTGAAATTTTCTTAAATGTTAAATAAAGCAACATGGTAAAAATTAAAATTACTTGATTTTACTTTCAATTCCTTTTACATTCTCCAAGGCATTAACATTAACATTTTTCATAACTCCATGTAGGGAGTTTCTGTACATAAACGTAACCACTGTGGCAGTAGTAATACAATATTAGAAAACGTACTCTTTCTTGATCCTTTTAAAAACAAGTACTTCAGTACTTTTACTTAAGTAGACATCTGACTGTAGTACTTTTACTTGTACTTGAGTCAAATTTAGCAAGGGGTATCTGTACTTTTACTCAAGTAATAAAGCTGTGTACTCTGTCCGCCTCTGATCTAAAGGACACCAGGGAATTTGGTTTGTTGCATCTTATAAAAAGGTGCATAACAGGTCCCAGTGGGTCAACGTGATTTTTCCAAGACCAGGAACTACCCACACTCTAAAAAATGCTGGGTTGTTTTAAGCCAATTTCTATCCCAATTTTGTTTCAAACTCAAACATTGGGTTAAAAATTTAATTAAAAAATGTAACCCAATGGCTGGGTTTGTCCATTTTTGACCCAAAATTGGGTTAAAACAACCCAGAATTTTTTAGAGTCCATAACTTATCCCTAAAATCAGAGGGAAATGATGAATAACGCTTATGTAAAAGCACCAAACCCAAGCTTGACATAAACTGTAAACTTGTCCCTCAAATTTGATTGGTTGATCCAGGATCAACAGAGATGTTGATCCAGAAACATGTTGCTCTTGGTGAAATCAGGTTATGCGTTGTACTTGGTGGAATCACGTTCACCGCATCCATCATACCAAGAGAGTCAGGACAAAACAACTCTCCCCTATTATATTAATTTAGACCATATAGCCAATCAGTCAAGCTGGCTTCAAACAAACATTATGCATTGGGATTGTTCCACTATAGTTCCAGTAATTCAAGACTCTTCAACCCGAAACTCAATTATCAATCTCTGTGGTTTCTGAGAGGTGCTGCGTAGTTGCAGCATACATCTTACCTTCTCCAAGGTCCAGCACAGCAAGAACAGCGCTGGTTCTAGCTTCACCCAGGTGATTAACAGCCACACAGGTGTAGAGGCCTCCATCAGCTTGTTTACAATCTCGTATCCACAAGCCATCATAATCCTCATGATCATTTATCAGAGGGTCATCATTATGGTACCAATGCAGTGTCGGTCTCGGGTTGCCTCCCACAGACACCCTCAGACGGACATCACAACCTCCCGCAACAGCAGCCCACTTCAGCTTTCGGAGGAATTTAGGTGGAGCTTCGACGGGGTACTGATCCGGGAGTTCATTCGAGGAAATCATGGAACTAGAGTTTGTCTTCAGCAATTCAGCTTTTCTCATTGTGATTATTATCTTAATCAACACTGTTAATAAAATTTTTAACCCTGTTGTGGTGTAATAACTCCTTTTGTTGCATTGACTTTAGATATTATATTCCCCAATTTTTCAGAGACTGTCATGATGAAACTTCTCAGTAATCTGCAAAAAAATTAAAAAATAAAGATTTAGCAATAAAAGAAAAAATATTTCTCTTTTGCAGAATATATAAAGCTATGAAAGCTTGTTTATTCCACACCATAAAACAATTTAAAAGATATTTGCGACTTTTTATTAATTGCGAGATATAAACTCGAGATATTTGAAAACGTCAGATTTGTGAGATAAAAAAATGCATTTACCTTTTTTATTTTTTATTCTGTGGCGGAAACAAGCTTCCATAATAAACAGAACCGTGTATAAATGAACACAAAATGAATATGTATAACATCAAAATATATCTATAATTTATTGCTATTTATTTAATAGAGTTATTAAATAGAGAGATTTTTAAAAAATTTAATAAAATAGATATCATGTATACAATGCACACCGGGGGAAAAAATGGGGTAGAAAACAATATTCACTCAGAAATTGCTAGTAAATTTCACAATCAATTACAAACAGCAACATTCAATTTATCATGATTTTTTTAGAAAGACTGAAATAGTATTTTCCTGTAAAACACACTACAAAAAAAGAGGACAATGTAGTCACAAGGGAAATTGTGCCTTACCTCATACCTCTTTATACAAATATCCAGTTAACAAGAATAAAAAGATTTTATTTTTTAAACATTTTACATGTAATTTACCTCAACTCATTGCCTTTGAATATCTCCATTCACTGCAGCTTAATCTTTAAGCCTTCTCAGGATCATGTCGTATTACCAGTGTCAGTACCAGTGTCTGTTTACACAAGAGAGGGTAATTGAGTGTTCCTTTCCTCTTTTGGATAGTGACCCTCTCTCCCAGCAATCTACCAGCACGTCACATGGCCCCTTGCTGACTAGATGGCGGGGTAGCGCATGTTAGAGCTCAAGTCATTTAAAGATCTAACACATTCCATTCTCTCTTCTCCCCTATCTTTTCTTCCATGACCTTTATACTTCACTGACTCCCTGTGGAGGTGACAGGCGAGTATGACCAGCTTTCAAGTGACAGCTGGAGCAAGGGTAGGCAGAACTTTTTAAGTCATCCCAAAGCCTCTTGTAATACTTTTACACTGAAAATTGACCATTCAAGACAGGTATGAGCTTTGTAACATTACAAAAAAAAAAATGTTACTTTGGCAGAATACTTGATTAGTTTTCAGTGGTGATCAACTGAGAAAGATGTCTTTGCATGCATAAAGACGTAGTTGCATTTACCACCAGGGACTAATTGTCGAAACTAACTGGACAAAACCAGACCCCTTGCTCTTAAAGGCATAGTACAGACAAGTAAATGTGATCACGCTCTGACATTCCTGCTCCACTCCCCTGAAACATACACTTTGTTACCATCCACCACCATTGTATTGTGAGTGTGAAAGCAAGACATTGAATGAATGTTGACTGATTTATTTGTCAAAGACAGCATGAGCCACATTACCGGAGAGTTAAGAATAATATAATGGAACATTGTTTTTTTTTTTAAATTTTTTTATTTATTTTTTTATTGTGTTGAAACAGAGAAAAGTATGCAGATGTACTTATAGTGAAGAAAACAACCAGTTTAATTGTTTTAAGTTTTCTATTGAATTAATAATACTACTATCCATTCAATTATGACATTTCCTACATTTTACAGACTGCAAATCTGGAAAAGCAAACTGTATTAATTAGCCAACTGCAATAGGTTTACCCCACCTGCTGGCAAAGGGCAGAAAGCTTAGACATATTTCCAGGGTCCTACAATATTCTATTACAACTATTATGTTGACTATAAGAAGCATTGTAATACATTGTTAGTTAATGTATTAACTAACAAGAAATAACAATGAGCAATATATTTGTTACTGTATGTGTTAATCTTTGTTAATGCTATACAGCTGTTCATTGTTTGCTCATGTAACTTTTGATTTTTATAATGAATTAGTTAATGTTGAAATTAACATAACAAAGAGATTAATAAATGATGTAGAGGTGCAGTTCAGTATTAGTTCATGCTAAATAATGTAGTTAACTAATGTGAACTAACCCTTACTAACAGAATTATACAGTATTTGCTTCTGTTAACAGAACTTACAAAAGTACAAATTAATTTTAATAATTAATTATTTTCCTTCAAATTCAGGAAAATAATTAATAATTTAATAATTAATTATTGTATTAATTATTTTTTAATTATTAATTATTTTCCTCCGAATTCTGGTGGTTTATGTGAAGTGGTTGAACTGATTTTCCAAAATAGTTCTGCCAAAAACTGGCAAACACCAGACAGAGATATTTTCACGGCAAGGTCAAGCCACAAGCGTTTGATAATGTAATATTTTGTTTGTACTTTTCAAGCTTACATGGGAAAGCAGGTGTCATCCAAACTCTCTGAGAAAATCTTACAAAGAACAATACGATTTTGCCAATTATGAGTTTTGATAACAGGCAACAATAGAATTCTCAAAAAAATATAACATAAATTTAGCCAAGAGCCACTATACAACCACAATATAATACATAGTTCACATATAAAAACCTTGTGAGCACTTATGAGTTTATTCATGCAAAAAAAATGTATTTAGCTACTCACCCTCATGTTCTCAAGTGAAGTCACCTTAATGTATATAGCACTTTTTACAATGTTCTTTTGCAATATATTCTTTTGAAGTCCACAAAGGAAATTAAGACATAATAGTTTAGAATAACATGACATTGACAAACAATGACACTTTCCTTTCACCGTTGGGGTTAAACTCTGTATTAAGGTGTCCTAGGAGCAGGATACTTATAAGGAACAATTTAATAACATCACATGCACATAATAAATATTGTAGGCTTCTGTATTTAAGATTTGAAAAATGGATTAAACATTTCAAGCAGGAAGAATAAAAGCATGATCCACTTTTGCGAAGAAAAAAAATCTTATACTGTTATACTGTGTTATACTAGATTAATCAAAAACGTCTCGGTTACGTATGTAACCCTCGTTCCCTGAGTAGGGAACGGAGACGTTACGTCAGAAGTGACGGAGATTGGGGGTTTCGCATAGAAAGCCAATCCTCTTCGAGTATTAAAACACGAGCCAATGGCATGCAATGCCTTGGGGCTGCGGAATTTTGCATAGCGTACTCCGCCCTACTCCGTGAGTATAAAAGGAGGAAGTGAACGCAACCGCAGTATGTCTTCGCTGAGGAGCCAAGACTGAACTCGGCCTCTACCCAGCGATACAGCAGAAGTGGCAGGGAGACGTAACGTCTCCGTTCCCTACTCAGGGAACGAGGGTTACATACGTAACCGAGACGTTCCCTATCGTAGTCACTTCGAGTTACGTCAGAAGTGACGGAGATTGGGGGTCTGTGCCATCACGCCATCTTCAAGCTGTCTTCCAGTGCCCTGCGAAAGACTGAACCCCCGAGCCTTACCTCTTTTTTTTTTTTTTTTTTTTTTTTGGGGATCCGACTTTGACACAGGATTACCAAAGTACACTGGGAAACATATCCCGAAGGGGACATGCTACCAGCTGCCTACCGAAGGGAGGACTTAAGAATACACATATGGCCACATAGGAACGCACATGGAACACTGGAGTACCAACCGCAGGTGGCTACTGATTTAAACTCCAGGGGTGGCAGATGGCTTGCCAAGGGAAGACACATGCTCAGAGAGGCTTACAGTGGATAATACACATGAGACGGTTACCATGGGGAACCGTGCGCATGGAGGCACCTAGCTAGCATCCAGAGCAACGCAGTGGTGCCCGCATCGTCGGTGCTGGAGGACTCAAGACTTCAATGGAAGAACTGAGGAAATATCGCACTTATCCAGTCCGGGGAGTGGAGTGGCGAGCAAGCGAAGACACCTGAGCGGATCCAGAACTGGCCGAAACGAGTACGTGAGAGGATACCGGCTCAATTCGCAGATTATAGAATCTGGCGAAGGTGTTGGGTGTCGCCCAGCCTGCAGCTCTGCAGATGTCTGTTAGCGAGGCGCCGTGCGCTAAAGCCCAAGAGGAGGCTACACTCCGAGTGGAATGGGCCGTCACACCAAGGGGGCACGGAAGGCCTTGCTGCTGGTAAGACAAAGCAATGGCATCCACTATCCAGTGGGACAGCCGTTGCTTTGAGAGAGCCCTTCCCTTCTGGCTCCCCCCATGACAGACAAAGAGCTGGTCTGAGGTCCTGAAACACTGCGTTCTGTCGACATAGGTGCGGAGAGCACGTACCGGACAGAGCAGTGCCAAGGCTGGGTCTGCCTCCTCCAGGGGCAGCGCTTGCAGGTTCACCACCAGGTCCCGGAGGGGAGTGGTAGGAACCTTGGGCATATATCCAGGCCGGGGTCTCAGGAATACGTGAGAGTAAGCCGGCCCGAACTCCAGGCACACTTCGTCAACAGAGAGTGCGTGCAGGTCCCTTACTCTCCTGATGGATACCAATGCAATCAGGAGTGCTGTCACATAGGACAGGGCAAAAACTCTACCGACTGCAAAGGCTCCAGGGGAGGCCTCTGCAGAGCACCCAGGTCTACTGAGAGGTCCCCAGAGGGCAGGAGGGGAGGGAGGCGGATTTAGCCCCCTCACTCCCCTCAGGAACCTGATGACCAGGTCATGCTTCCCATAGACTTACCTTTCACTGCATCATGAGACGCGGCAATGGCCGCGACATAATCCAAAGGGTGGAGGGCGACAGCCTGCGCTCCAACCCCTCTTGCAGGAAGGAAGCATGACTCCGATCGAACATCTCCGGGGGTCTTCTCAGCGAGAAGAACACCAATTGACGAAGAGGTTTCACTTCAACGCATAAAGGTGTCACGTGGACGACGCTCTTGCGGAAGTGATGGTTGCCGCCACCGCAGGTGGCAGCGAACTCAAACCTGCCTCGTCCCGTCCTGG